TGACTATAAGAGACAACTTGGCACATGGCTGTTTGACACCTCAGGAAGCTCAGCAGCATTGTCTAGGCCACTGAGCCCAGGAATGATATAGTCTCAACCTTGCCCACTCGGACTTGCAACCTCTGGTTTAAGCTCCTTAGTTACAAAATGAGAAAAATGATGGTCTAAGATGCCCATACCACAACTTCACGATCCCAGCTGTATAATCTCACTCATGCACTCGTGATGGCACTGCAGAAAAATAAAACTTCCGCCCTAACTACAGTCCCAGAGTTGGTCAGACCTCCAGTTATGCAGTCCTACCTCTATCATCACTACTACTGTTACTAGTAATAATTACCAGTGATTACTGCTAAAAATGGTAATAGCTATACCTATGATTTATTATGTAACAGGAACTTTATACATATTTAATGATCCCACAGTTCATGAGTTCAAGCCCCACGTTGGGCTCTGTGCTGACAGCTCAGAGCCTAGAGCCTACTTCTGTGTCTCCGTCTCTCTCTGCCCCTCCACCAACCCCAGCGCTCACGCACGCATGTGCTCTCTCAAAAATAAACATTAAAAAGATTTTTTTTTAATTTATACATATGATTTAATGCAATGTGTTAGCAACCCGATAAGGTTTTTATTTTACCCTTTTTATAAAAATGTGAACATTAGGCTCAAAGTTTAATAAATTTGCCCAGGAGCTAAAGCATCAAACTAATGAAGTTAGGACTCATACTTTCTGTGAATTCACGATTTTTGTGCCTCTCAAAGGACAGTCAACAAGCATTTACCAAATATTTACTCTAGGAGAGCTACTGTAGTAGGAGTAGAGATTAAAAACAAAGTATCAGCCTTCAAAGAACTCCTGGTATGGTAGAAATAACAAAAATATCAATTAGGCAGTTTCACTGTTGTGTTAGAAACACTATATGTAATACAGTGTTTCATAAGTCTTTTTAAAAACACAGTAATTTGCTGTATGAATTTTCAAAGAAATTAAGAATGGAGCATGCACTAAAACATGTATGAAATCTGGCTAATGAATAAAGTATAAACATAAATTTTCAACATCCTTGCACGAAAAGTAAACTAGTATAATTTTATCTTTTTTGATTAAAAACTATCTTTAAAAGAAAAGCAAAATGAAACTCAAGCAAAATGAAGCACTTTTTATAAAGTTATATCACATTAACGTGACAGCTACTAAAATATTTTTTGTCTGTAACATATCTGCAATAATACTTAACACCCGAATACTATCTGGGAGAAAAAAAAATTGTACTGAAAGAGTCGAATTGTTAGACTACATATAGCAGCTAAGTGCTGCCCTCTAGTGGCCATTTTGAAAATATCTTTATATCCTTCCCACAACTGAATTTAACATCATTTATTAGCAACAAACTTATTTTGGTACTATAGGTCAATCTACATTTTCCACTAAGTTTTTAAATACTTAAAGCTTTTAAACATAATATATTATTTCAGATGAAAAATCCTGGTATCAAAATCCCAGAACTGAATCTCAGCTCAACTTGTTAGCTGACTTTGGGTAAGTTACCAAACTTCTCTACATCTGTTTTCAAATCTATAAAATGACACATAGCAGTATTAAATAAAGATGTCATAACCACTGTTAGCCATTAAACCTGTACTTGTATTTCCTTCAATTGAGGGTCTTTAGCACTTATTTTCCTTAAGGCTTTTCATAAATAATCCATTTCAAGCAACTCAAGACAGGAGTTAAACATCAAAAACACAACCAATGTTGAATATGGTTTCTTATTAATGAAAATCTATTTCATTGGCTTTATCTGAGAAGGATGACTTTCTATAGTGTTGTTTTGAATTCACTGAATAAAATCATAAGAATATAATTATCTCTATTAAAACAACATTATTGTATATTTTTAAAAGAAGAAATATTTTATGAGAAAAAATTACTTAGAATCTATCATTCAAATTTCCTTTCCACACATTCCTGGATCCCTTAATAAATCAGAAGTCCTAAAATTCTGACATTGCTAGGGTGATCTCCAAACTCCTAAATCAGTATCAGAACATATTGTAGTTGTATATATAATTTACACAGTTGCCTTAACTTATATGAAACTTATAGGATACAACTTTTCATTAAGTTAGGTCAATCACATATAAGGCGTCACAGGACTCAAAATCTTCCAGACTCCATTCTCCCCTAAGGATAACATTCCAAGGCAACACATATGGGCATTGGGTCAGTTGAAAAGTCATAATTCACAGATTAACTTTATAACCAAACAAAGCACTGTCTCCTTCGGGGTTACTTCCTAAACTCATTTCAATTATTTTCCATTTTCAAGTGGTAAATACATCCCAATGCTTCTTGAGGATAGTGTTTTGGTTTTAGATTTTACTGCCATATTACTTTTTTCATTTTTTAATGTAAATTTATACTAACAACTCCAGAGTAACATGATGTCACTGCAATTTTAAGACTTAACATTTCTGAATGCTAAGAACACTGAGAATAGCAAGCAAATATATTCATTTGTCTGTTGAATCAGTGTCACAATTGTGATTTGTACTTCATGCTAATCATATCTGAATAATGACAGAAATTCCTAATTTAACAATGGTTTACATTCTTCAAATAATTACTTTCCTTAAACTTTACCTCCCTAGATGACTGATCACATTGGTAATCATGTATAATGATAATGACTTTCCATGTCATTGGAGGAATTTGTTACAGATGACTAACTTTACAATGGGATTACAAGTTAATTTACAAGGAATTTGTGAGCAATGTTTAGTGCACTGAATTTTTCAGAGTAAAAGAAACTGATTCCTAAAGAACTGCTTAATTCATTCATAATTACTCCACTGTCCAATTGTTCTTCCATGTATACTTGTATATATTTAATAACAAAAGAGCAAAACTTCTTTATTCCCAATTTATACCTAAGTAATATAAGGCCTGTACCCAAAAAAAATTTTTTAATTTTTGAGAGAGAGAGACAGAGACAGACAGCACGCACACACGCATGAGTAGGGGTGGGACAAAGAGATGGCAAGAGAATCCATCCCAAACAGGCTCTGGCTGTCAACACAGAGCCTAAGATGGGGCTCAATCTCATGAACCACACGGGATCATGACCTGAGCTAACCAAGAGTAGGACGCTTAACCAACTGAGCCACCCAGGCACCCCTGGCCTATTCCCAAAATTAAGTTCTAAAGACAGTTTTAAATTCTCCCCTGTGAAAAGTGTGGTTCTCCTAAATTTGAGTTCATCAAGATCTAGCATTGATATGCTAGTTTCTGAATAGTATAATATTCAGTTATATGGTTTGAAAACTTCTCAGCTTCTCTTCTCAATAGAGATAGAGATTATTTTTCCAACAATAAGAGCACTGCCATTTCTAAATCCCCTTTGTCTTCATTTGCATAATTTCCATAGACCTACCTCACACAAATCTGTTTTTCCAAATGCAAAAAGGTTGAGAAAAATTTTAAGACCCTGGCTTTCTATAGGATAATTTCACCTTTAACTTCTTGTCTGTGTGGAGCAAGTATCTATTTCATGCAAATTTTATATTCTGAACCAAGGAACTAAAAAAGAATATCAATTTTTCTTAAGTTACAGGCAGCATCTGTATGTCCAACACAGAAATTTTGTTTTAGGTCAGACAGGCAGGAAAAAATAAGAATAGACTCTACAGGAAAAAAGGAAGGTGAGTTAAAGTAGAAAAGGAAGAATGAGTTTCAAATACTCTACCTGAGCTACAGTAAAACACTTTACTTGGCAGCAGGTAAACATAACAGTCCAAGTCTTTGGCTTAAAAAATTTTATTAAGTAGCTGATCCAAACAACACGTGTGTGCACACACACTCACACACCGATGCATATAGACACAAACCACATCACCACAGTGTGCATTACTCTTTCGTCATCCAGCACCCATCTGCCCTTCTCAAAGGCACATTTTCCTGGCTTCTACATGGGAAAGGCCAGGACTTTGACCAGCTCAACCCTAGTATTCCAGTCACTCTCAGCTCCAGAGCTGGAGCATTTGACTCAGATCTAACCATCCTGCCCCCTGCACCCAAAAACTGCTGCCTCAGTGACCCAATCAAGCCAATCAGAGTCAATCCTCAGCATTTTGTTCGAATGACTTGGAAAAGGTCTTCCCTCTTTCCCATCATGCTTGACACTAAGTTGTAGAGGATGAAGCCATGGCCATCATTTGGACTCCATGAGGGAGGGCCTGAAGTTGCCAGAGGACACTAGGTAGGGGGGCCTAAAATGCAGCCCCAAATGAAAAGAAGAGAAACCACATCCTGGTGATAGCCTAAGAACTCCAGGTCTAGCCATTCTTGAAGCCAGGATCTATCTCTAGATTTTCCAGTTATAAGAACCAAACATGTCCCCCCTTTTATTCCTTAAGTCAGCTGGAATTCAGCTTGTTGTTGCTTTGTTATTTGCAATGGATAGTCTTACTTGACAAATCAAAACCCTGATATCTTAATGACGACACAAGAAATACACAGAAATTGAACTGCTCAACTGCCCTTATCAGTCATACACCAGGCATGTCCTTCCTCTTCAGATTTCTGATCCATTGTTCACAGGGTCTCAGTAATTGTATTAAGTGTGCACAACTTCGATATCCCAATATGCAATTTAATTGACACAGATCTGTAGCAAAAACATTTCATGTGTCCTGTAATGAAACCTGTTCACATATATATTTTAAATCCATAAAGCAAGCCTATGAAGGAAGGCTGTTATTACAGTTTATAGTTTGTAGATTAAAAACTTAAGTTTAGAAAAGTCGACTTGAGTCTTAATGCCTCACAGCTAGTAAATGGTAAGGGTCAGGTCTTTTCATTATTCTTTTATTACATTTTCATTATGTTTTTCTTATTCCACAAATAATTTTTATCATGAAGTATAAATGCAGGACATAAATAAGCACTAAATTCCATCAAATTAAGAACTATAAGACTTTTCAAAATAGTATACTCTTACCTAACTCAGGGTCTCGAATTCCCATGTACAATTCAAGAAGATCATCAATCTTCTCAACTGCTCTTGTTTTGGCTTCAGAGGGCTTTATCAAAGACAAGAGAAAGAAGATACTATTTTATATAAAATCTCTTGAATGTTAAGGGAAGGTAAACTCTGATTTGGAGCCAGTTCATGGTTGTGTCCATCAGCTCATTTGAGTGGAAATCTATCCCCAATGTGCTCTGTAATGCAATACAAATCAATACAGTAAATACTTATTTTTAGTGTCAGCGTTAAGTGCCATGGATTCAAAGGAGAAACAGAACACAGTCTCCAAGTAGCTGACAATCCAGAAAGGGAGACAACTGTGAAAATAAATATGTAATAATAAGGAAAAATTTTAAAGGATGTAAGAGGCATCACAGACAAGGTAAACTTAAATCTCTTAGAAGTCACAGAGGACTTGAAAAAAGGTGACTTAAAAACTGTGTTTTCAGGGGTGCCTGGGTGGCTCAGTCGGTTAAGCATCTGACTTTGGCTCAGGTCATGATCTCGCTGTTCGTGAGTTCAAGCCCCACGCCAGGCTCTGTGCTGACAGCTCAGACCCTGGCACCTGCTTCTGATTCTGTGTCTCCCTCCCTCCCCCCCTTCCCCTCCCTGCTTGCTTGCTAAGAAAAAAAACTGTTTTCAAAGATAAACTGGTAGAAGATAAGCAGGAGAGGTTACTGCAAATAGAAGTATTGCAAATACGGGCACCTGGCTGGCTCAGTTGGTAGAGTATGTGACTTGATTTCAGGCTTGTGAGTTCAAGCTCCACGTTGTATGTAGAGATTACTTAAAAACAAAATCTTAAAAAAACTATTGCAGGGGCGCCTGGGTGGCGCAGTCGGTTAAGCTGGCCCTGGTTTCAGCCAGGTCACGCATCTCATGGGTCCGGGGAGTTCGAGCCTCGCGGCTCAGGCTCTGATGGCTCAGAGCCTGAGCCTGCTTGATTCTGTGTCTCCCCCTCTGCCCCTCCCCCATCTCACATGCTCTGTCTCTCTCTGTCCCAAAAATAAACAAACGTTGAAAAAAAAAATTAAAAAAAAAAAAAAACTATTGCAATAGATACGCAAAGTCTATGTGAACTCAGAGTCTGATAAAAAAGAGTATACCCAGACAGGACTTGGTCTTAGGGGTTCCTGTGTGCCATGAAAAGGGCTTTGGTCCTCATCATGCAGATGAAGGGTCTCCAAACCTTTTAATGGCTCATCCCCAGGGTAAAACATTTGTGAACATACACTCTTACTATTTTTTATTTAATTTTACTGTATTGTTGAAATAACTTTCTGGGCCCAAGATGGAGCCATGCTGTCCAAAGTGTCATGTTATCTAACTTTCTTGTCCCTGTAAATACTATGCTTGACCAGAAACGCAGTATAATCCAGTCAGCCCACCCCCAAATATCAAGCGAACTCTAGGACTCCTCACACCAAACAAGATTGACTAGCCCCAGACAATCAGAGATTTTCTATTTCTCTCTTATTTGTTCTTTAATCTTTATCCTACAAATCTTGTCATCTAACCCATTTTGCAATTGTCTGAAAGGGGACTGTCCACTTCATGAATAAAGTTTGTATCACCTAAATTGTCTTTAATTTTTTTTTATTTGTGGCATTTTATTTTTATTTTTTTATGTAAGCTCTACACCCAATATGGGGCTCAAACTCATGACCCCGAGATCAAGAGTCACATGCTCTACTGATTGAACCAGCCAGGCACCCCTTCTTTAGTCATTTTTTCACAGTATGTATCTTTCATAAATACATGTATTACTATATTAATGTATTATATACATTATGAAATACACAGAAATGTTATAAAAGGAGAAGATGCTGAAACAATAGTTAATTTTTATGTATTAATGGTACCAAAATATTTTTGTTCTTCCTAAAATTATTAAAGGTTAGAGTGAAAAACATGATTGGATACATTATTCTTTGAAAATCTTGGTTTAACGTTGGCAAAGTTTGTTTCTACATTCAGTTTATTTCAATACTTGGTCTTAATGGCTTCATAGCTAAAAAAGAAATTACCCAAAGATGTAAAATAATCAACTACTGGTACAAACGCAGAATTCAAGATTAGATTGTAAGAAATTCATAATGCTTTTAAGACAGTTATAAATATATGTTGCTTTGTGTTCTCCAAACTTATTAAAAATACGCATTTTATTACAAATACCATTTTATTTTTATTTCCTTGAGGATATTATCACAACTTTCTCATGTTCTTATTTATACGAACTAAGCCTTAGAAAAACAGGTACGATATACCACTCTTGCCTTCTTTATGGTGTATTTTGGATGCGCTGTGTAAATCAACAGTCCATGCAAAGTAACTTGGGTGTTCACCTTTGTAGCCAGCCAGCCATATTGTTAAGTTTTGTAACAAGTATCACTACTTCTCATACACAATTTTACCATTCCACCCCCTAAATAGCTCTTGATCTCATCACCTCTTCCCCACTCACATTCTGATTGTCTGGGTTTAGCCCTCAATTTTTTCATATTTGCAGAAGTTTCCTAATTTTTCTCCCTGCCTGCAATCTTCACCCTCTCAAACCCACCCTGCTCAACAACCCATCCCTTAGAACCAAGGGATTTTTCTAAAACACAAAACTATATTGCTCTCCTCAAAATATTTTTTTTTAACGTTTATTTTTGAGAGAGACAGAATGCGAGCAGCGGGGAGGCATGGGTAGCCGAGACAGAGGGAGACACAGAATCTGAAACAGGCTCCAGGCTCTGAGCTGTCAGCACAGAGCCCAATGCAGGGCTCAAACTCATGCATGACCCATGAGATCATGACCTGAGCCGAAGTCAGACACTCAACCGACTGAGTCATTCAGGCTCCCCACTCTCCTCACAATTTTTAAATGGCTTCCCCAATTCCACAGACCTTTCACATCCTGACCCAGGCCTCCTCACCCCCCAACCAGATCCCTCTAGCACCCCCAAATCCCAATCCCATGGATGCTTATAACATCCCAAGCCCATCATTTTTTCAGGCCTAGAATACTCTTCTCCCCATCTTTAACCAACTCAACCATTTCTTTGGGATAGAAATTCCCTCCCACCTCTCCCTATCCCTGACAGCAGCTGATCAGCTCTCCTCTGACATTAACCCTATTCCCTAGTTTTTAATGGCTTCTTTCAATACTTCTCTCCCTTTAAAAGAAAAACAAGGTTTTTATTCATCTTTGTATCACCAGCACCTGGACTATGCCTGTCTCAAGAAACACATACCAAATAATTTATGAGGTATGCAGGTGGAATATCTTCCACACTTTTCAGAATCTGTGCTGTTATAAGGAGGTGATTTGTTTCAGATCTATAAATTCTTTAGATCATAAGTCCTTTGCACCAAATTTAACATTAGCAACAAACTAGCCTTTTCCTTTGAATTGGGCTATTTTCAATTACTCTATTTAATGAAATAGGCTATGAAAATAGGAATGGAGTTTTAAATTTTTTTAACATTTATTTTTGAGACACAGAGACAGAGTGCATGGAGGGGAGGGACAGAGACAGGGAGACACAGAATCCTAAGCAGGCTCCAGGCTCCAACTGTCAGCACAGAGCCCAACTCAGGGCTCGAATTCACGAACTGTGAGATCATGACCTGAGCCAAAGTCAGACACTTAATTGAGCAACCTAGGCGACCCTAGGAATGGAGTTTTAGAAGTTTATCTTCAAATGAATCTTTCGTACCTCCCCAGACAGATCTTCGGCTGCTCCTTTTCATCCCAACACCTTATGAACAGCAGGTACTCAACAAATACTAATTATGTTAACTAAGCAAAGATGACGCTCCTCCTGAAGTCACATCGAGTTTTCTGCCTGCCTCTGACCCCTTTGCAAGTGGTTTTAAGATCTGTCCTTTGGGGGCGCCTGGGTGGCGCAGTCGGTTGAGCTGCAACCGATCAGCCAGGTCACTATCTGCTGGGTCCGGGAGTTCGAGCTCCCTGCCAAGCCAGGAAGGTTTGGGCTGGGCGGCTCAGAGCCTGGAGCCTGTTTCCCGACATTCTGTGTCTCCCCTCTCTCTCTGTCCCCTCCCCTGTTCATGTTTTGTCTCTCTCTCTTGTCCTAAAATAAATCTGGAAAAAAATTAAAAAAAAAAAAAAAAGATCTGTCCTTTGTTCCTCACAGCCTGGACTAGAAAGCAGTGGGCATTCTCCTGGCTCCCCTTGCCAGCTCCCTCTCACTGTCTTCCACTCTCTTCCAGATTCCTCTTCTACTCAGGTTTGTTCATTCATGCAATAAACATTTACTGGCCTTCATCAATGTGCCCAAGGGTGTGCTGGACACTGGGGGCACCTGGGTGGCTCAGTTGGTTAAGCATCTGACTTAGGCTCAGGTCATGATCTCAACATCTAGGAGTCTGAGTCCACTTCAGGTGACCCCACCCCACTTTCTCTCTCTCCCCTTCTCTGCCTCTAACTCACTTGCACCCTCTCAAAAAAAAAAAAAAAAAAAAAAAAAAGTGCACAGGACACTGGAAAAGTAAAAACTCAGAACTACCAGATGTCACTGCCATGAGTTTTTCACATACCTCCTCAAATCTCATTTGTAAAATACTTTTGGCTCTCCCCGGTCTCTTCCTTGCCCCTTGCATCCACATCAATCCTTTCATTCACTATCCAAGACCAAGGTACCTGACTCAGAATCTTTCTCTGGATTCCCCCAAACTGACAACATCCTAGGGGACTCAAACATTTGAAAGTACAACTTTGGCCTCACGGTTCTTTGAGTGTCTGCTCCAACAAAACACCCCCATGAATGATCCTGGGCATCGTCACCTAACAAAACTCTGGGATCCCACTCTGAAAACTTGCTCACTCTGCTCTTCAAACACATGGAGAGCCCTAGGCCAATATGAACCAGCCATCCCTGGTGCCTATGCCCTGCCTGCTGGAGCTCCCTCGCCTCAGACACATGCCTGACCTCCCCATTGTCTACAGGAGGACTTCATCACCACAGTCTTCCCTGGGAGAGCAGACCACCATGTGCCACCCTGAATCCTCACTACCCCTGTCACCCTTAACCCCTGCTATTCTCTCCTTTCACCCTTCCTCCCTCCATTGGTCTCTTCTCCTTTTGGTGTTTTTCACTTAAAAACTGACCAAGTCGGGGGCACCTGGGTGGTTAAGTTGGTTAGGCGTCTGACTTGAGCTCAGGTCATGATCTCGCAGTTTGTCAGTTCGAGCCCCACGTCGGGCTCTGTGCTGACAGCATAGAGCCTGGAGCCTGCTTCAGATTCTGTGTCTCCCTCTCTCTGCCCCTACCCTGCTCATGCTCGGTATTGTCTCTCAATAATAAACAAACATTAAAAAAATTTTTTTAATAAAAAAAACACTGACCAAGTCAATCAGCAAAACCCTACTCTTCTCAAGTTTAAATAACTGTTTATTAATTCAGCAAAGATTTGCGCTACTTTGATGTGTCGGGTACTGTGGTTACAGCAATGAACAAGACCTGTGAAAAAAAGAACTAAACAGATAAGAAACAAAGATATAATGTGTCCTATTGTGCTTAGTGCTTTAAAGAAAATTAAGGGCAAGGAAGATTGGGCAGGGAGAGGAGGGTCAGGAATTGCTACTTAAGCAAGATACTCAAAGAAGGCCTTTTAGATAAAGCAATATGTGGACAGAAACCTGAAGAAGTCAAGGGAGTGAGTCACGCCTGTAAGTGGACAGGCAGAGGTAACAACAGTACAGAGACATGGAGATGGGATGTATCTGGAATATTTGGGGACAGCAAGGAGACCCATGTGGCTGAAGCAGCGAGAGCCAGGAGAGGAGAGGAGTGGTCGGCAACGAGATCAGGGAAGAAATGCAGAGTCAGATCATGTAGCTCACTCCAAGGACTTTAGCTTTTATTCTGAGTGCAATGGGAAGACACTGGAGAGTATGGAACAGAAAAGCAACCACTTGTACTTTTAATTCTGGCTGATGAGCTAAGCACAGAGGGAAAGAGGACAAGGGTAAACACAGGAAGACTGAATACAAGGCGACTGCAACATTCAAGACAAGATGTAAGTGCCTTGGGCCAGATGAGGAGGGCAGAGATGGTGACAAGTTGTTGGATTATGTTCTATTGTGGAGGTAGACCCACCAGGGTTTGCTGATAAAAGGGACATTGGTCACGAAAGACAAAAGTCAAAGGTGATGAGGAAATATTTTACCCGAGGAGACCACAGTTCATGAATATAGTATTTCATTATCAAAATCTTAAGTATGCCTGCTACTACCAGTGGCTCTGAGACTTTCTCTTGCCTCTCAGAGAATTCTGGTTAAGTGTTTGAGCCAGTCCAGATGTCTACAGACTCTAGCAAATGTTCTCAGCAGGTAGCTGAAGATGGCCATAGATCACAATTTCTTCTCTTGGACTTACTTATGTTTCCTTCTTAAATGCTTTCAGTAATCTTTGTATTATTTAAGTAGGCATTGAATTAAAGTCCTTGCTTTAGCGTATATGGTACCCTGTTTAATTTTGTGGCTTTATTTCCAGCTTTATTTCCAGCTCTAATAAACATGAATATCCACACATTTCCAAGCAAAATGGGAGTTAAATAAACATAACCTACCATTTCTTCCACGGTGGCAGGACCCTTTGATCTCAGGCGAAGTGTCTCCCTTCCAGTACTAATTTTTCCTGCTGAGGACTTTCCAGCTTTTGACCTTGGTTCTATTTCTATAAACATATAATAGATGGAGAAAGGTGTGTATATTCAGAAAGAATTTCAACAGATTTCTATAAATGTGAATGTATTTTCCATCATAAAACTATATACACAATTAGACATTTAATAGAAGACATGTCTTCTTATAGAATTTCCTAAAAAAAAAAAAAATTCGCCTGCCATTGTTATTCTTATATTCCACATACAGTCTGGTTACAAAAATAAAAGGGAAATATTTTAAATATAGTTGGAAAGCACTAAGAGTTAAAAGGAATAAAAAATAAAACAGTTGGCGTTATTATAGTAAAGGGATGTAAGTAACAGGAGAGCAGAGGCAGAAGTTCAGCTGGACTTCATTAAGGTCATGAAGGATTCACGTCTGGATAGAAGAGAGGAGTGGAGGCACTCCTACTGAAGTACCTACCCTCTGCTTGATGCTCTACATACAAAACTCATTTAATACTCATACCAACCTATGATGTAAGTTATAGCCCTCATTTTACAGAAAAGGAAATTGGACTCCATAAGGAACAGAGCTGGGATTCAAATCCAGGTCTTGTAACCCCAAGTCTGTATGCTTTCCTCAATGACACTCCAACACCGTACCTCTTGCAAACACAAGGGATATATTCAGAGATGTCATACTGAGAGAAGCAGGATTCTAAAGAGGCTCGGAATAAGTTTCAAGGAAGGAATTCTCCTCAGAAAGTCGGATCCACGGAAAGCCACTGCTTTCCTTAGGCTTGTTGTGTTTTGGTTTTTTGTTTGTTTTTCCTACGTACCAGGAGTCACCCCATACTAAGTAGTAACATAAATGAGTGAAAGGGTAGGGCGGGGACTGAGGATAACTCCAAAGCACATGCCCTATCTAGGCCAATAACTTACTCCAATAACTTACTGCCCTGGGGAAATGTGGGCCCCGCATAGTTGAATCTACTTGTTTGCAAAGAAACTGGATACTCAGTTCTCTATGAAACTCCTGATTTTTAAGTTTTTCCAATTAAGTCAAACCTTTAAAAACAACGTATTAGCAAAAATAAAAGATGTGTGGATCCAATTCCAGTCACAGGCTACCAACTCTTAAGTTCACAAATATCCCCAAGCACCCTTGACCAAGGACTCTGTGGCAGCAGTTTGGGACAAAGTACAGAGGTGGGGCAGGAAGATGCCCTGCCACCAACCGGAGATAACTGAGCTCCAATGAGGAGCCACAGGACAGGCTGGTACATGCAAGTAGGTAGTGAGGGATGTACAAAGCTCTCCAGACAGACATCAAGTGTCCTGCAAATATGCTTTCTTGCTGACATAGAATCTAGAACCATTCCCATCTTCAGCAAGTACTGTTTTGCTATTGGGAATCTACACCAAAGTAATTAAGGATTTTATATATTAATTGTAACTTGTAACCAGGGACAGAATCACCAAAACATAAAACAAGTTTTCCTCTGGGGTGCCTGGGTGGCTCAGTTGGTTAAACGTCCAACTTTGACTCAGGTCATGATCTCACAGTTTGTGAGTTTGAGCCCCGTGTTGGGCTCTGTGCTAACAGCTCAGAGCCTGGAGCTTGCTTTGAATTCTGTGTCTCCCTCTCTCAAAAATAAACATTTAAAAAAAAAAAAAAGCTTTCCTTGGAGAATGAAATTATTTAAAATTATCACCCAATAAAGAGACCAGTTCTCCTAAGCTGATGACATTAATGCCAATCATCATGACCAGACAGATTCTCCAGCAACCAGAGCTTTATCGGCAAGTCTACTGCATTTGCCTTGCCAGTCATACTGTGCCCTGAGGGAAGAACAAATTAATGGAAGATTTTCAGCACAGAATTTCCAGAAGCGTGCCCAAAGAAAAAGATGAGGTCTGTCATCATCACCACCTCAGAGTGACGTACAGACCTAAAGCACTCAAGACAGTCTCAGCTTAATATTAACCTTCAAGATAAACAACCTTACACCACCCACCCCTTCCACACACCCCCCACACACACACGCACACGTGCGCGCACACACACACACCACACCACTGTGATTTCACTAAGCAACCTACTCAGTATAACCTGTCTCCCCATAAAAATTTCCTATAGGGTGGAAAATGAACTGCTCGGCTAACACAGGTGTTTTGGTCTACCACTTCACACACATTTCTAACTAAACTACTACACTAGCATTCTGACTTAACAAGTCTCTTGTAAGTTTGGTCAGCAGGATAGAACCCTGGAAAATTGGACAACTCTAACAACAGTGAAAATAAAAGGTTTCTGAGGTTTACAAAGCTAAGGACCCAGCCTCTGGAGTTTTATCAAGGGACTGTCATCCAGGCTGGAGAAGTCAGCCAGTTTCCCTAGATGATGTCTCTATCTTACCTTGCTCTTAAAACACCAGTAGCTAGAAAGGAAAATGCACGTAGAATGAAGGGTTTTTTAAGTTTGTTGTTTTTTTTTTTTTAATATTTATTTTGAAAGAGAGAAAGAGAGAGCGGAGAAGGGGCAGAAAGAGAAAGAGTCCCACACAGGCTCCATGCTGTCAGCACAGAGCCTAACCTGAGGCTCGATCCCACAAACCATGATATCATGACCTGAGCCGAAATCAAGAGTTGGATGATTAGCCAACTCACCCACCCAGGTGCCCCTGGAAGGTTTGCTTCTTTAAATGTTTTATTTTTTAAAACAGTTTTAGGTTCAAAACTGAGAAGACAAATTTCCCATATGCCTCCTGCCTCCACATGTGTACAGCTTTCCCTTTTATCACCATTTGCCACCACAGTGATAAATTTGGTACAATCAACAGACCTACACATCAACAGACCTGACACATCATTACTCGAGGTCTGTGGTTTACGTTACGGTTCACTCTTGATGTTGTACTTTCTATGGGTTTGGAAAATTTATCCACCATCACAGTAGCATGTAATTTTTCTTTTAATTTACATGCAAGTTGGTTAGCAGATAGTGCAACAATGTATTCAGGGGTAGATTCCTTAATGCCCCTTACCCACTTATAGCCCATCCCCCTTGCCACCACCCCTCCAGCAACCCTCTGTTTGTTCTCCATATTTATGAGTCTCTTCTGTTTTGTCCCCCTCCCTGGTTTTATATTTTTTGCTTCCCTTCCCTTGTGTTCATCTATTCTGTATCTTAAAGTCCTCATATGATATTTGTCTTTCTCTGACTTTGCTTAACATAACATCTCTAATTCCATCCACATAGTTGCAAATGGCAAGATTTCATTCTTTTTGATTGGCGAGTAATACTCCATTGTGTGTGTTTGTATACATATATACACATACATATACATATATATGTATATATACACACACACCCCACGTCTTCTTTATCCATTCATCTGTCAATGGACATTTGGCCTCTTTCCATACTTTGGCTATTGTTGACAGCGCTGCTATAAAGATGGGGGTGCACGTGTCCCTTTGAAACAGCATACCTGTGTCCCTTGGATAAATACCTAGCAGTGCAATTGCTGGGTCATAGGGAAGTTCTGTTTTAAGTTTTTTGAGGAACCTCCATACTGTTTTCCAGAGTGGCTGCACCAGCTTGCATTCCCACCAGCAGTGCAAAAGAGATCCTCTTTCTCTGCATCCTCGCCAACATCTGTTGTTGCCAGAGTTGTTAATGTTAGCCATTCTGACAGGTGTGAGCTGATATCTCATTGTGGTTTTGAGTTGCATTTCCCTGATGATGAGTGATGTTGAGCATTTTTTTCATGTGTCGGTTGGCCATCTGGATGCCTTCTTTGGAGAAGTGTCTATTCCTGTCTTTTGCCCATTTCTTCACTGGATTATTTGTTTTTTGGGTGTTGAGTTTGAGAAGTTCTTTCTAGATTTTGGATACTAACTCTTTATCTGATATGTCGTTTGCAAACATCTTCTCCCATTCCGTTGGTTGCCTTTTAGTTTTGCTGATTGTTTCCTTTGCTGTGCAGAAGCTTTTTATTTCGATGAGGTCCCAGCAGTTCATTTTTGCTTTTGTTTCCCTTGCCTCTGGAGACTTGTTGAGTAAGAAGTTGCTGTGGCCAATGTCAAAGAGGGTTTTGCCTGCTTTCTCAAGGATTTTGATGACTTCCTGTCTTACATTGAGGTCTTTCATCCATTTTGAGTTTATTTTGGGGTATGGGTGTAAGAGTGGTCCAGATTCATTTTTCTGCATGTGGCTGTCCAGTTTTCCAGCACCATTCACTGAAGAGACTGTCTTTATTCCATTGGATATTCTTTCCTGCTTTGTCGAAGATTAGTTGGCCATACAACATTTCTGGGTCCATTTTTGGGTTCTCTATTCTGTTCCATTGATCTGAGTGTCTGTTCTTGCACTAGTACCATACTATCTTGATGATGACAGCTTTGTAATTCAGCTTGAAGTCCGGGATTGTGATGCCTCCTGCTTTGGTTTTCTTTTTCAAGATTGCGCTGGCTATTAGGGATATTTTCTGGTTCCATACAAATTTGAGGATTGTTTGTTCTAGCTCTGTGAGGAATGCTGGTGTCATTTTGATAAGAATTGCATTGAATATGTAGATTGCTTTGGGCAGTATCAACATTTTAACAATACTTGTTCTTCCAATCCAAGAGCATGGAATATTCTTCCATTTTTTTGTGTGTCTTCTTCAATTTCTTTCATAAGCTTTCCATAGTTTTCGGTGTATAGATTTTTCACCTCTTTGGTTAGATTTATTCCTAGGTATTTTATGGGTTTTGATGAGCATACAATTTTTTTTAATGTTTATTTATTTTTGGCAGAGAGAGTGCAAGCAGAGGAGGGGTAGAGAGAGATGGGGACAGAGGATCCAAAGTGGGCTCTGTGCTGACAGCAGCAAGCCCAATGTGGGGCTCGAACTCACAAACCGTGAGATCACAACCTGAGCTGAAGTGAGACGTTCAGGTGACTGAGCCACCCAGTTGCTCCAGTAGCATGTAATCATCGTCCTAAAAATCCTTTGTGCTCTGCCAATTCACCCCAGTTTTTTTTTAAGTCATTATTTGTCAAACCATCCTTCTCCATTAA